TAGAAACAGGGGACGAGGAAGAGGCCGAGATGCTGGTGCGAATACTGGTCCAATCGATAACACTGGCGATAACAACAATACCGAGAGACGCGATGGAAAAGGCACACAAATGGGAGAAATTGGCGGAAATAACGGTATGATGCAAGGATCAAACATCGAAGCTATGATGAACACTACACCACCAGGATATCGCAGTCCCCATCCCCGCGATCCAGCCTCTTCCCACCGATACTTCCATATCGCCAACGTCCACCGAGGAGGTCCATACGACATAAATCCCGTTACAGGCGTTGTACCTGCTCGGCCTATCGAGAATCCACCAATTAGGACAAGTTCATCTCCTATGTACGGAGATATGATGATCATCCCCCCTGATCTAAGAATGTCAAACATGGGTGTCTATCCTCCAGGACATCCCCTTTTCACCAACCACAGAGTTGAAACTCATGCATTTCACGCTTTCGAGATGCCTCCACCCCCTTCTTCAGGTCTTCCTAGCTATCAGAGTCCCAATTTCGCTACATCTACTTACAGCGATGGAAATGGTAGCACTATCTACTCTGGAAACCAGTACTCTTGGAGTCCCAATCCGGAGCCTTATACACCAATGCCAATGTCAATGCATAGTTCCGAGAGAGCACCAATTGGTGGCATGGATCCTCAAGCATACGGTCAAACAGGTCCACCAAGCCAACCTAGATATCAACATGGTCCTCCTGCTGCATTTGCAGATACAACCAGCTATCCAATGATCTATCCGCAACACCAAGCCATGGACACCGATGCTCAACGAGATACCTATAACTACGCAGGTTACTATATGGATCGCCCTCATTTCAATCCCAGTACCGGTGCCAATACTAACGCACATGGCTCACCCCAAACACGCGCTCAAGGTCCTGTTGCAGTCTCCATGGCCGAGCAGCAGCCAATCGGCCGTTTCACTCGTGCTCCCGCATTCTCCCCTCTTCCTCGTGGTGTTTCTGGCGCAAGAATGGCATGGCACGATCCTGATAATGGTTTACCTCCACTCCCACCACAGGTTCCCTATTTAGGGAACTCGCCTTTGGTAGCTCCTGCTGCTCCAAGATACTTCAATGAGGGTCATCATGGAGTTAGACGCAATGGACGTCATGGGAATGGCAACACTCAACGCAACACTGTTCAAAGATCTAGAACCACTCAATCTATGGGACAACTTCAAATGCAGATGACTACTACCGGTCCGGTTCAAACTGATTCTCATGCGAGACAAGCAACAACTCAAGCAAATACTCAGGGACAAGCTCAAATGTATTCTCAAGATACACCTGCTACTATGAACATTTCCCTGTTGCGTACGCCAAGAGTCATCAGCAGCATGCCACGACCAAACTCAACAATGTAAAGGGATCAAGCAAGAACAAGGCAAAAATTTCAAGTAAGTTTTCAAATGCAGATAATTTTTTGGGGATAGTCATTTATGTGGTGCAATGCTGGAACTATGCTAACCAGCCTTTCACTTAGAATTTGTACATTGAGAACAAAGGAGAAAAATCTGCGGCGGAATTGCTTAAAACCACTGTACCATCACCGACATCTTCTTTTCCGTTCTCACTTTCCTTTTCGTCGAATCACGACTACCGATCAACTTCTCCGAAGACTGCGAGTATGATTAGCATGGATCTACAAGCGAAACGACAAATGTTTTCATGAAAACTTACCCAAATCCATGGTACCAATGATAGCAACCGCGTCAGCAAGCAAATGTCCTCTTGAGATTTGATCGAATCCACCCAAATGAGCGAAACCGGGCGCGCGAATCTTGCATCGGTATGGTCTCTCACTTCCATCACTTACAACGTACACGCCCATTTCACCCTTTGGTGCCTCAATTGCAGAATAAGTCTCTCCAGGTGGAACAGTGTATCCCTTGGTAAATAGTAAAAAGTGGTGGATGAGTGCTTCCATGTTCTCCTTCATAGCAGCACGGGGTGGTGGAGAGATCTTGTAGTCCTCTACTCGGATCGGTCCAGCTGGCATCTTATTCAAGCATTGATGAATGATTCGGAGGGATTGTCTGAATTCCTCCATTCTGCAGAGGTATCGATCGTAGCAATCACCATGGACACCAACTGGTACATCGAAGTCGACTTGGTCATATGCATCATAAGGTTGACTCTTACGGACGTCAAATGGAACACCACTACCTCGAAGCATAACACCAGTGAAACTCAAGTTCAGAGCGTCAGCGGCTGAAACGACACCAACTCCTTTCGTTCTTCCAATCCAAATTCTATTATCGGTAAGTAGTTCCTCAGTTTCGTCGATGCGGTCGCCGAATTGAGTGGCCCATTGGTAGATGTCGTCAAGAAGTCCAACTGGAATATCTTGATGAACACCACCTGGACGAATGTATGCAGCGTGCAAGCGGGCTCCTGAAACTCGTTCGTAGAATTCCTACGTTGGATATCAGCACCATTACATTTTCTTAGATAGTCAAAATCAATAATAATAAAATTTCCTTACCATAAGCTTCTCACGTTCTTCGAAACCCCACAAGAAAGGTGTAAGAGCACCAACATCCATTGCGTGAGACAAAACCGACATGAGATGATTCAAAATTCTAGTGATTTCACCAAAAAGTGTTCGAATCCATTTTGCCCTCTCAGGAATCTCAACATTTAGCAACTTCTCAACAGCCAAAGAGAAACATTGCTCATTGGTCATCATAGAAACGTAATCCAATCGATCAAAGTATGGTAAAGCCTGGATGTATGTCTTATATTCGATCAACTTCTCAGTTCCCCGATGCAATAACCCGACATGAGGATCCGACCTCACAATTTCCTCTCCGTTGAGCTCCAAAATCAAACGCAACACACCGTGAGCAGCCGGATGTTGAGGGCCGAAGTTCACGGTATAATGGCGAATCTTCCTCTTCTCCACATTTTCGTCTTCGTGCAGTCTTGATTCGGGAGCTACGTTGAGATGATCTGGGTTGTTGTTAAATGCGAAATGTTCATCGGTAGGGACTAATCTTGTGCCCTCGTATGGCTCTGCGTATCTGCGGGCGGGGAATGCTGAAAATGCTCTAATTGAGGCTCTTGATGTTGAGGGACGAAGTGTGGTGGGTCGCAACGAGCATCTAGTAGCTGTGCGCCCGGCCTGCCGGAATAATGATGCGACCATTGTGAACAAAACTGACGAGATACTGGATGATTTCTACCAGATCTCAATGTTTTGAGAGAGAGGCAATGAGACTGAGGAGTGGAGAGTGAGGCCGTTTTAGCGTTTGCCTCTTTGATTATCTTGATGATGTTCTTGACTTCTTAGCACGGATCTCTTGATTAGCTTTGCTTATTTAAGATGATTTGATTGGTTGTCATGAATAGCAAGGGTCGGCGCCGGTTGATCTTTGATGCCGATATCAAAATTTATTTTTTTGTATCTTCAGAATCTTTGCGACAGTGCGACTGAGAGTAGAACGACCCCGCGATCGATTTTTTTATTTGGGTTTGCAGAATTATACAAGATGGCACCAAAACAAAAATATACTGCGGCTGATGCCCCACCACCCAGAAGCTTTTCTGAAAGAGAATTGGCAGCTAGAAAGGTACAAAGTCTTCAAATGTACACTGATTTCATTTCTGATTCCATTCATAGATAGTTGGAATAAACACCGAAACCGTCACCGACATCACATCCACAGATTTCCCGGGTCATTGGCCTCACGAAGATCATGCATGGAATAAGCAAAGATTCGCCGAGAACCTCAAAGTACAATTCCACCAAAACGAACCACTCCTCTCCTCATTCTCCCTCATTGGCATCGATGCCTCAGTCGCCAACGCCTTCCGTCGAATCCTCATTGCTGAAATCCCCACACTCGCTATCGAATACTGTTTCGTCAAAAACAACACCTCTGTAATCCAAGATGAAGTTCTCTGCGCTCGTCTCGGTCTCGTACCATTCAAGGGGGGAAAAGAAGGACTCTTAGATTTTATGAAATGGCTCCAGAAGCCCGAGGAAGAAACCCCCGAAGAAGAACGTCATCTCGGCTCTTTCGATCATAATACCATTCAATTGACCCTGAAAGTCGAATGCACACGTAATAAGGAAGCTACTCCAGGAGAAACCGATCCAAGAAAAAAATACCACAATGCACATGTATATGCGAAGGACATCGAATTCAAGCCTTTTGGAAGACAACTCGAGTATTTCAGCGGGGAGAACACTATCAAGAGTCCTAATCCAGATATTTTGATCGCGAAGATGAGACCCGGTCAAGTCATTGATATTGATATGCATGCGATTAAGGGAATTGGAAGGGATCATGCCAAGTTTTCGCCAGTAGCCACAGCTTCATATCGATTATTGCCAGTGATTGATATCACTCAACCAATTTTGGGCAAAGACGCAAAGAAGTTCAAGAGATGTTTCCCTGATGGCGTTATTGGGATTGAGAGGGTTACTGCAAAGGAGGCAAAGATTAAAGGAAGTGGATACGAAGGACACGAGGGTGAGGACAAGGCAGTGGTTGTAGATGCTATGAGGGATACGGTCAGCAGAGAATGTTTAAGACATGAGGAATTCCAAGGCAAGGTCAAATTGGGAAGAGTGAGAGATCATTTCATTTTCTCAATCGAGAGCTTGGGACAATGGGACAGCGATGAATTGTTCCTGGAGTCGATCAAGACACTGAGAACAAAGTGTGAAGCATTCAAAACGAGTTTAAAAAACATGACGAAGTAATTTGTGGAGATATATAGGGGAGCATTGTAGGAGTTCAGGAAATATGGCGTTGGTTGGTTTATTCGTGGATAAATGGGTATCTAGATTCTAAAGAGTTTATTATAACCAAAAAATCAATGCTATTTATATGATTTAATTCTCTCATAATCCAGTCATAGGCAACTAGATATGCAAGCTATCAAAACCCCTTTTGCCTATGATCCCACTAAATCTACTTCGTTTTCACGTCAGTCATACTTCGTCGTGTTTTCCCAGCTGGATTTCGGCTAAGTGGACACACTCTCAGTCGCAGCATCTACCACAAATGCCCTGGAGAATTTCAGTCTGTACTTGAACATGACTGAACCCAATGACGGATCTGTTACTGCAACCTCATCCCCGTCCCCAGTCATTTCTCCCATCTTCCTTGACAAGTTGTGCTCGGTCTTCACGCGCAAGCTCTCCGGGCTCTGCATGTACAAAGACTTATTGTCAGCTGAACGAATCGAAGGCTTCTTGAGCTGCGCTTCTGGTCTATGTGCAAGAGAATCGATGAACTCCTGAAGAGTCAAATTGGGGTCGATGCTCAAATCCCTTGCCAAGTTTCCACACACGGGACAGTCGTCCTTCTTCTCATGCTTGAAGGTGTAAGTGTAAATGCCGTCGTCTCCACTGTACATCATATAATTTTCCTCCAAGCCAAGAGAAGGATTGGTACTGCTTGCAATTTTGAACGCTTCGTTACAGCAGCTTGCCGCGATTATTGCGTTAGTCGAAGCAATTGCTGGAATGATATTTTTGACCACTCCCTGTGTCAAAGAATAAGTAACACCCGGGATGTTGAATTCTTGCGCTCTAGTTAGAGCCTTCTTGTAAAGCCAAGTGATGTGTTCTGGATCATCATTATCTAGCTTGGGAAATGGCTTCTCTTGCTCCCATGCCATAATGTGAGCCCACTCGATGCAATGCTCCGGTTGGCGAGGTATTGTAGCTAGCGTACAGAGAGGAACTGCAGCTCTCGGTGCGTGCATATCAAGTTGACACTCGATACAGGAAGTCATGGTCGGTAGGATTACACGTGATTGACCTTTAAATCCTAATGATATCGTTAGCAAATTTGCTTCGAGTGGTTGAAACATTTTTAATACCTTCGGTTCCTCCATCTATCAATGGCTTCAGACTGTCCGGATTTTCCATATCAACCATGTCGACCAATTTAGAGTTAATCCATCGTCGGGCTTCGATACTGTCTAACCCGCATACAACAATGCTGAATTGCATGTAAAATTCCTCATCCTTATCTTGGATCTTGCAATTATGCGGTACAATCGTGACACCCTTTACTCGTTTCTCTACAAATTTGGCTGCAACTTCAGCCTTGGACTTTCCAACATCGCTATGGCGGAAAAGGAATTGTCGATTCAAATTTGAAACGTCGATTGTGTCTACAAGAGCTTAGTTAGAGTGTTTTCTCAGATTAAGTTGAACAAAAAAGTACCCATATCAATCACGTGAATCGTCTTGAATCCTGATAGCGCTAGATTCTTCAAGATTTCGCAACCAAGACCTCCCGCTCCACTACTTTCTGTTAGCACTCAAAGCTCCATCCAGTGAATTTCCTAGGCAACCAACATTACTCTGGAGAAGTATTAGCAACATATTCTGTATTTATTTTCAAGAATGGTCAAACTCACAAGATTTTCATGTGATCGAGGAGAGCAGTGCATGCCTCGCTACCATCAAACTCCTCATCAGTAAATGGACCAGGAGTTCGACGGATATTGTCCAAAAAAGTCCTTCAAATTGTTAGTTTGATAGTAAACAGATCGGAAGAGTATACGTACCATCTTGAGAGTGTTTGGGTTGCCATAATAAGAGATTTTGGGTATTTAACGATTCCTCGAGTACTTCTCTGCGGTGAAGGAAATTGAGGAGAATTGTATGATCGGAATAGCTTCGAACTCTTGGAAATGGAGTGTCTTCTTATCGAGGTGCATGAGCTTGTTAGCGCTATCGCAAACGCGCTAGCCGCGATTGCCTGTCGTATACCTAGCTGCACTAAGTATTGTAGACTCTGAGAATCAAGAAAATTACTTAAATCTAAAAATTTACTCAGAATCATTCATTAACTAAATTTAATGCAGCTATGGATGATCTGCTCACACCCGTGAGTATAGTCTATAAGAGACAAGAGCAAAAAGATGAAAATGCTCTTATTGAGGTTTCTACCTCTTCACCATTAACCCAGCCAGTCCAGAAGACCCATTCGAATCCTATACATATATCAAGCGCTGAACAAGCATTGGAAACCTTGAAAAATCAGCCTAGTTCTGACGACTTGAAGTCGGCTTTGGAATTTCTTGATAATGAAACAAATTTTAGTATTACTTCTCCAGGTCCTCTGGCTTCTCAGCTGGTACATGTTTTGGTGTCTGAAGTCACACCCAATTACTGGAGTATATTTCACGAGTCAGGCAGCAAGGCCAAAAAGAACAAGCAATCTCCTATTCTCAAATTACTACTTAAATCAATTCGAAGTACAGCCGGTATTAGTGCTATATTACTGAACTTAAAGCGACTCACGCAGCAGTCCAAGGAGACTAAAAAGAATATAGGAGGTAAGCTACCCGAGAATTAGGTTTATAGAAGCTATGCATTTGATGGTCTAACAATATATAGGTTCAAGTATCGAAGAGAGTCTGAAGATACAGCTGCAACTTTGTGTTGAGGTTCTTGAAGGGGAAAGCACTATCGAAAGGCTCTGGAACACTATCACAAGCTCATCCGATGTCCCTATTAAGCAGAGAGTTCTTTGCAACGAGTTCTTGGCCTTGATGGGAAGTGGGAAGATCATTGGTATCACTGCTGAGGCCGAAGCAATCTCTAATGAACTCAGTAAACAGCCAAATGATAAGTATTGGGTTGCCGATGGGAGCTCATATAGCAGATGGCTGGGTCAGAATATCATATTCTGGTTGAAAGTCCTGCCACAAGACTCCGAGCAAGCATGGAAGAGCTGCAACGAGCTCTTTGGGAAGTGTCTTAGACTTGGTCATATTGGTAAGACAACTCATTGGATTGATTTGATTCTATCGCTCACCGGGGTCCAGATAATATTGCCAAGGAGATTCTAGACTCTCTAATCCTGCAGAAAGAAGAATATGCAGCAAAATTCCTGAAGCTATATGGATACCTTCCAAGCTTTGAACAACGCAATCTACTTTATACATTTATAAACCTACTGTCACGGGATAACCTATCATTGGATATCACATCGGAGGATGATGAGAAGTGGTGGCAAGCAAATGCAGACATCGTATCAGCAGCGGCTAAACTCATTAGCATGCTAATCACTAATCATGAATCGCGGAAAGATCACCTGATATCTTGGTTGACAAACTCCTCGGGGGCTGGTATAGGCGAAGGTGTGGCAATTCGACGTGCTGCAATCGCAGCTCTCTCAAAAAGTAAGAAGGATATGGAAAACATATTGGAAAGGAGCTTGAGCCAATTTGGTGATAATTTGTATATTAGACATGCGCCTACCTTGCAACAAGAAGGTATGATTTTTCAAGCAATCAAATACCATTCCTTTGCTAACATGATTCCAAGTACATGCTCAAGTTCTCCTCCTGTCTGCCGGATACGTTTGTAGAATGTCGCCTCTTCGACTAACGATGATTATGAGGTCGGGTTCTCATTTGAGTGTTGTTTCAAATAGATTAGCTGCATCATCACCTCGAGCACGCTTCTTGGGTATGGTCATTGGAGAAGCCATGTCCAGCTTGGTCGATAAAGGAGATAAGATTATGGATTTTAAGATTGAAGATACGAAAACATCCGAAGCAAAATGGTACAAGAGTTTAGTAAATGTGTCAGATACAATCGGTAATCTCGAGCCTCTCAAGTCGTCGTTTGTTCCAGAAATATCGAAAACAAAGAAAGCTGCAAAGGCCAAGCCAGTGCCAAAACCAAACCCCCTCAAAGGAAATTCTAAAATCATCTCCATCGAAGAAATTGAAGACGATGACGAAGTAGAATCTGATGACGATGGCCTTACCCCTTATGCCAAACCTGATTCCGATGTCGAAGACTCTGATGAAGATCCAACACTTGTCATCAGAAACAAACCAACAGCTCCCGTTTATATTCGTGATCTCATCACCTATCTAAGAGATACTGAAAACTACGATCGTCAAAAACTAGCACTTTCCACTGCAGCTTCCTTGATACGGCGCAAAGCCAACTTTGGTGCAGAGGTCAGTTCTCACGCGGAAGAAATCGCAACTCTTCTTATTGGTTTGCAAGATAAATATGATATCGAGAACTTCCAAGAAATGCGTTCACAAGCCATGATCGCCATCCTCATTGCACTACCAGAAAAAATGGGCCAATGGTTTTCGAAAACATTCTTTGACGGCGATTACTCTCTAGCTCAGCGTGCTGCTATCCTTACCACACTCGGTCTCGGAGCTCGAGAGCTAGGTGGCCATGGGTCTGAAGACAAGTCTCTTACCAATCCCATTGGTTCATCTTCATCTTCATCGCCGTTTCCTTCAAAGAAGCTCCCAGAAGCAATGCACAAATGTTATTCTCCGTCGCCTTCCAAACCTGCTCTTACCGCTCTAAGCGCAACCGGCAACCCCGTCGAAGCCCTAACCAGCAGCCTGCAGAAAACTTTCCTCGCGCCTCTCGCAGCCCAAACAGCCGACAGCTTAAGCGGTCCCAATATTCTCAAAGTCCGCACTTTCTCCTCGCGTCTCGAGATCGAGAAGAAGCGCAAAAAGCCTATCTCCAATGCCCTTGCCAAAATCGTCTCTACCTCATTTTTCTTCCCCTTAACCGGTCGCTTTTTCATTCACCTCAAAGCCTACGGTTCAAACTCTTCTTCCAATATCGCTTTCCAACCCCATCTCCTCAGTCTCTTTCTCAAAACCCTTAGTATAATCCTCCACTCTTCGGGACAAGCAACACTAAGTCTTCCACAAATGACGAGCGAATTTTGGGATTTATGTCTGGGTTTAAGAATGCAAGCGATGGCCGATACGGTGGTGCAAGAAGCGTTATTGTTTTCTTTTATGACGATTTTGGAGATTAATGATGGAGATTTTAGGGGGCTGGCGGAAAGACATGGGAGGGAATTATTGGAGACGAGGGAGTGGGTGGAAGGGGTTTTTAAGGGTATTGGCGCGGGGAGTGAGGAAGATGAGAAGAGGAGGTTACTTGCTGCGGGCGTGTTGGTCAGAATTGGGGAGTGTGTGGAAAAGTGGCAGAGGCTTATGGTGGGGGACGTAGTGGGGTTTACGTAGACGAATCGGATGGAATGCTGTGAGAAATGACGTCTGCTTGCTTTTGGTGCATGAGCTTGACTTTTAAGCCCCCGGATGGTCAGATGAATGGTACCGTCTCGTGTAGACACACTTGCAGGAGATATTGATCGAAGTAAGATGGGAAAACTATTGAAGCGAAGAATGTGGCTGTAAATTGTTTTGGGAGAACATCCCCCACAAAGAATTGGTAAGAAGAATTGTACGATACGTTGATTGAATATACTGAGATCACTAATATTGAACTGGATGAGCGACTGCTTTTTCGAAAATATCTTGTTCGGCAACATAACTTCTATTACCTAGGTAATTATTCGCACTTATCCCAGGTGCGCTGTTAAAACCACGCAGCAACGGAAATTAATAAAAAAAATGACATCTTGTCCCACAACCTTCATATTGGTTGTTGTCCAACATACATTCCAAACCCCTCTCGCCGTTTAAACACTCGCCCCGTTGCCCCCTGCCCTCATAACCCTCCTAGCACTATCCAGCTGCGCCCCTAGATCTTCATTCCAAATCCACTTGCACCTTTCCACCAATTTCTTCTTCATACTCTCAATATTCACATCTACCCCATCACCCCCCACATCCTCCTCACTCTCGAATTCATAAAGTTCCGCTGCCTCTCTACTCGTCTTGACTACCTTTTGGCTTCTCGGCCTCCTAATCTCGTCATACGCTCTAAACGCCCCTTCAATATCACTCACTTCCCTACAGTCTCCGAGTAAGTTACTCAAAACAAAGGCATCTTCGATAGCTTGTCCCGCTCCTGCTCCTTGATGGGGAGTAGTTGCATGAGCTGCGTCACCTAAGAGCACAAGTCTACCTTTATAGTAAGTTGGAGCGGGAGGATGATCGAAGAGAGCCCAGACGTCTGGTTTTTCCATAAGGGATAAAATATGTTTTGCATCTTTACCCCAGCCTTCAAAATCAGAGAACATGTCTGACTCTTTCATAGGGATAACCCATTTTTCGTTTTCCCACTTTCCATTCGGTTGCGTTTGAAAAGCTACGACATTCATTGTGGCGCCTTTTTCAATGGGGAATGTTAGGATCTAGAGGGATATTAGTGTATGATGAAGTAGATCAAGGAAGAATACTCACGTGACTTTTATGCCCTAGATACATTTGACTGTTTTTGGCTAGATATTCTCCAACAGCTCCAATCGCCTTTTCCATGGGAATCAGACCTCTATATGCATACTTTCCACTAAATACCGGTGAAGTTGCTTCATGATCATCCCCAAGAACCATATGCCTCGTTCGCGATTTAATACCATCACACCCAATCACCGCATCGGCCTCCGCTGTTGTTCCATCCTGGAAAGTCATCAGTAGCCTACTTCCCTTCTCCTCTACCTTCTCAACTCTCTTTCCAAATTGTGCAATTTCCTCTGGAACCAATTTAACCAATTCATCGAGAAAGTGAGCTCTGTGAACAGAAGCTTGTCCACAACCTTCCGCCACAACTTTAGCCACGAGCTCTCCTTCTTTAACCGGTGCTTTTCCTGTTTTGAAATCTTTCCAGCCTTCTTCGGAC